CAAGACCTTTCAAGTATTACGTGTGAAAGGCTACAACATTATATCTTACACCTGATCGCTAAAGTGACGTTAGATTGCCTTTGAGTTTTTCACTACTGTCCGATCAAACAAGAGATGATATCATAGTCAAATCAAATTAAATATTCATCGAAATAAGAAATAAACATTTATTTTGTCGATAGTCATTTTAGGTTTCCGTACCCAAATTTACAACGGGACCTTATTACTAAGACTCCTGCTGTCTGTCTGTCCGTCTGTCACCAGGTTGTATCTCATTAACCGTGATAGTTAGACAGCTGAAATTATCACAGATGATTTATTTCTGTTGTCGCTATAACAACAAATAGTAAAAAAAAAAACAGAATAAAATAGTATTTAAGTGAGGCTCCCATACAAAAGACATAATTTTATCGCCGTTTTTATAGATAATGGTACGGAACCATTCGTGCGCGAGTGAGACTCGCACTTGGCCGGTTTTTTTTAAATCTACCACCGTTTCGTAATGAGATTTCGTGTTGAGGAATTTTTAAACATAAATTTCACGTGGACAAAGGCCCAAAATAAAAAAGGCCTAATCTGAAAAAAGAATTCTTATCCTTTTTCTTAATAATGTATATATATACTGAAACCGATAGTTAAGAACTTTTGCACTCGTGTTTTGTACGTTTTCTTCTTCCTTTTGAATTTATTCCGTCTTTTTGAGGTCGGTACAACATGTTTATTATGTTATTTATGGTATTGGTTAGGTTTTTTAAGAACACCTGCCGTCAACCCTCCTTGGGAATAAAAATCCATATCGAAAAATAATCTGTGGACTGCATAAATACTCCTACCGTGTGGGAATCTTACCCACGCACTCCGGCATCCAGCCAATAACTTTGCAAATGGACAACTGAACCATGTTTTCATTTATATGTCAAAATTGCAACTAAACAACAGTAAATACGGATATAAATAATAACAACAAATGAGTTCCACTAGTGCTGTACCGCCATTCAAATGTTTTGCTCTTATTTTGTACGAAGAAAGCAGAACAGCTCGAAAACGGTCTAAGCTCTTTAGAATTTATTCGCCGACGGCGCTGTAATTCCAGCAGAGCAGAGGTACGGTGTTATGGCGGTGTATAATTCGCGCGGGCTTCTTATCTCGTGATATTTAAATTCCTACCTGAGCCTCAAAATAGTTCAAATTAAACGGAGCTTGTAAATTAAGTGTTGCTATCACGCAATTCCAAGGGAACCGCTTTAAGTGGTTTCGGTGCACGATCTACTGTTTTATCGGGCTCGACTTAATGACTACTATTTAGGGTATGATTGTCGGATAATTTGTGTCAAATCATTCCTCAGTATTCGATACGTTTTAACTTGGAGGATGTGAATCGTTCTTTCCGCAACTTCGCTTATGTTCTCGTATATTACGCGCTTTTACTTTGGCTTAAGCCACCTTGGAGCGGGGTTTTTCATAATTAAAAATATTAAAAACCTACCTTCATTTCGGTTCCGCAGAGGAAGTTAAAGTAAACAGGTATTTAGATTGGCGCTTAATTTAGTTTTTGTTACGATACTTTCTACAACTTGGGGGTAAGTTTATAATATTTATAAGTACGCTATTAGGATGCTTGTAATAACGATGTCGTGGATTTTAAACAACAGATTATTTTGCTATAAAGGAAAACTATAAATACTATAGTTATGATAGTTTAAGCTACATTACATAACTTACATCCGAACGAAAAATTTATTTATATGTTATCAAGGAGACTCGGCTCAAATCGACTAATTATTTAATTTAAAGAATAAATGTTGTGAATGATTGAATGAATGCTTCCCTTACTATAAAGATTTGTTTATGGCAATACCGAAAAAAGGGAGTTTTCGAAGGACGCCACTTGATAATGTCTCCAGTGGTTTTTTTTTAAACTCAGAAATTGTGCTATCTTCTGTCTTTACCAACGCTGAAACGGCGGAATGCTTTTCAATGAACGATGGTATTTTAAATGCTAGACACATTTTTACGTATATATTATTCACTATTTTATCTCGTTCAAACGTACCGGCTGGGTAAAAGTGAGATTGATGTAATCATTACAAAGATCAGCTGTGCTTGTCGTTTGATTCCGTCGAATCATAATGGGAAAAAAATATTGCAATGATTAAAAATAGATTTGACAGCGCCGCGGCGGGCAGATGCGCCATCTATCGCTCTAGGGGGTAAACAGTAGAGACGGGGCGATTAAATGTAAAAAATTAATAGGTACGGGTCATTTTCAATGTGGGGTGAAGGGAATCTTTTGTTTGTCGGGTTTGAGGCGATAGTCATATAGTGCGAGTATGGTAAGTACTGAGATATCAAGAATATGTAGGAAAAGACCCAAAATGTCTAAGAAAGAGTGGATACATGACGAGAAGATTTATAAAAAATAAAGAAGAAAATTAAAGTCTATTTTAATGCATTGTGGCGGACCAATTCTCTGAATTCAACGTCTTGTAAGCCTTAAGGTGAATAATTTATTCAATTTAGGATATTTAAATTCCTTAAGATAATTTGGAAGGGAAAATGGTTTTACGGTTTTGTTTTTCTTCCGTTGCCGATAGGGATATATATTACACATGACACATTATTTTTGCGAAGACATCGAGAAAAATGTATTCGATTTTTCATTCATTCAAACAAGCGAATTGCTGGCTAATTATGTATGTAACTAGCCAGCAATATGTATTTAGTTTATACAAACAATGTTTATACTTATGAAAGTGTTTAATTAAAAAAACAATAAGTTGTTTTTTTTTTTTTTTTTGTTTTAATAAAGTTACAACCTACATCATTATAAATCTATTACGTTTCATATTTGTAAAAATTTTTATATTTTACAAAGACTAGATTAGAAATGTCGACGGCAGTCGATTTTGAGCTTGAAATTGAAACACTACAGGTTATTGCGCGTCCAATAAAATGTCAAGTATGCAAAGAATGTTCAGTCGGGAGGTGGTCTTGTCGAAGGGACGCAATAAGGTTCAAACTGAGGGACGCCGAGTGCGGTGAAATGCAAATCTCCCGAAGTACAGCGCAGACTACGCGCGGCCCGCGGTTTCGCCCGGCATTTAAATGCAACCCAACTTGTCAAAGTTCCCCAACCTCACAAATGAATGCCCGGACTCAATGAATATCTCCGGTGATTTGAAAAGGGCTGGGGATATGTATTGTTTGTGTGGATAAAACGGCGATTAACTTTTTCAAATATAATATATCGTCTGCATGTTTAAAACGGCATTGCGTGTTGGAGAAATACAATTCAATACATAACAATTAAAATTCATGTTAAAATTCTTACATAACGTATATGTCTACGAGTTATCTGGTAAGGAGAAGACAAAATAAAATAAGCAGTCATGGGGACTGCACAAGAAGCAAACTGGAATGTCTGTTTTTTTAATTAATTATAGTATCAATAATTGAAAACACAAAATACTAACTCAAATTATTCCTGACATTTTAAACCAGTAAACAATCAATTTGAGTACCCAAGTTTTTTCATAAAATTTTTTAGAATTTTATAATGTGCGACAAGAATTACATTGAACAACTAGAAATATCCCAATAGAACTTATCACTTCGAAAACTTTATTAGTTTTGCGTATGGTAGAGTTGTTATTTCTAAATGTCATAAGGTAATGATTGCAATATAACGATCAAGAACGAACGCTTTGAGTAACAATCTTACTGATTTTATTACATTTGTTTCTTTTTCAATTTTCAACGTTTCAAACAGTTTGCAACATCTATGGTGACACCACCATCTTGTGCTGTCCTTGGCCTTATATTATTTAGGTGCAATATTTAAAATGCGATCGTTTTTTTTTACTAAATCAGCGTAGTACAGCAACATCTCTCTCAGATTAAATTAATCCATTAAATTTTCATATTCAATCTCTTTGTTTACACGAAGGCACGCATCGCGTCTAACCCCTCACTTTCTATTTGGTTTCTATTCTTTCGAGCAAAAGGTGTAGAATACAACGGCGCGATTGGCATGCCAAATGTAATAACAAAAACCGTCATAACTTTCTGAACGTTATTCGGTAACGGATGTTGTAAATATTATGCATAATTAAGGTAACGATTCACGTTTCCAGCCGGGTGAAGGTTGATGATAATTTACACACGGTTTTGAGCAGCTATATTTATTTGTTTCGAAAGAGTTTCATTATTTGATCATAATGAAGAAGGCAATGAAAAATATTTATCTTATTTTAAAAAGGTATCTCCGAAATATTTCATCGATTGTTTCTCTAACATGCATATTTCTCAAGACTTTTTCCTTCACGATCAAGTAAGTTGTAAGGCCACGCTTAAAGTGAAAATTATCAAGTATAAAGACTGCATGAATATTCTGAATGGGATGTAATCGACAAGAAACTTAGCTACGTTTTATATTGAAACAAATGCAAGCCAAAAACTGCAACATTTACATTTCGCAAGTGTATGAAATAACAATCCTTAAACGTGTTACAATACAATCACACAAGGAGTACAAAATACGAATTTTTAATAAATACCATAATCGTAATCATTTTAGCGTGTCCACTTAGTAAACACATGCAGCTTACAGACTGCCACAAAGTACGATCCTGAGCTACCTGCATCGATCGACTTCCCGTACATCCATCATCACCCGATCTAGTGGGGGTCGTCCGAACTAGCGGGCTGAACCATGTATGGCACTTGAGAACTTAAATAAATAAAAAAACTACTCGGTACACACACCGGTTTAGCGTGAGTTCAGCCGTCTTATTATTTCGTTCAACCTAAGTTAATATATATAAAAGTAATTAAAATAAAGGAGTTTACATTAATTACCAATAAATTAGGTTCCAATCGTCGTTATACCATAGCTTATCGCGCATCATTATTAAAAACGAAGGCTTCCAGACAACCGGAGGTTGTTTGCATTATACATACGGCAACAAAGACCGTCATAACTCCGAAATATTGTTGGCATCATGCATAATTTATTCGGGAGGATCGGTACCAAATCTGGTAGACGGAGATATCCATTACTTACGTTGGGCCCGCGGTCTGCCATCTCACCGGATATAACCTTGCGCTTGTTTACAGAGAGCATTATTTACCTCCATCTTTCAGCCGGTTACAAGTCTATGTAAATGCACTTCGCAACAGGCAATTTGTTTTATTCAGTACCAATGATTGTGAGTCATACAATATGTTATTTAATGTCCAAAATTAAGTTCAATGTCCAAAGGCTATGATAGTCACAATAGTCGGGCAGACAAATCTTCTCTACGTTTCTCTTTTGTACGATAATGGAAATATTTCAATGGATTGATGTATGATAAATTTTTATATTACGATGAAAACTAATTTATTATTTAGAATAAATTGGCTTTCATAGTAATACTATAATAATAATAAATGTTTTAATGTAATATGCTTTCTTAGATGAGATGATAATTATGATGTCAATATTTACTATCTTTAAAAATGATAAAATTAATAGTTTATGCCTTAACCATCTGTTACGTTTGAATCGAAAGTTGGAAAGAGTGAAAAAAAAAATGTTGTCTATTTTGGAAACAAATATATTAACGAAAATAGTTTCGGAAAACACTCAAATGTTCTGATTTGATAACACTTTATTTTCAAGAGATCCGTTCGTAGATAGCAAGCTATGTTCGAGATGCACGTACACGGGCGAACCAAGTGAGGACGGCGTAGTTTAAAATTTTAGCAGAATAGACAGGAAGGAAAATTGGAATTCAGCCGAGGGCCGCGTCGCCGGTCCCGCACTCAAACGGAACCCGAGAATGTTAGACGCTCTCCGAATGAGCCGTGCATCGTTACTTACGTCGTACATGCCGCCCTTAAGGCATGATTTCGCACGGGTTAAACATTTATTTTGTTCATTTTGTGAACAGTTTTTATTATTTTAGTTGTTAATTTTAGTTGTTAAGTACGAGCCGTGATAGCTGTGTCAGGGCGCTCGCCTTTAATTCAATATACTCGAGCAACCTGAGTTCGATCCCCGGTGCCGGCACCAATGAAGTTTTTAACTTTAAGTGCTGACTTTCACGTGCTCCGCGGTGAAGGAAAACATCGAGAGGAAACCTGCATATTTTCGAAATAATACCAAAAAAATATATATTTCGAAAATATGTGAAGTCCGCCAATCCGCAGTGGGGCCGCGTGGTGGACTATGCCCTGATACCCTCTGTATAGAGGAGGCCTTTGCCCAGCAGTGGGACATGTATAGGCTGTTACTTTAGTTGTAATTAAAACATCCTGACAATTTCCATTCAGGAATTTTTATTTAATCTCTAAAATAAATAAATAAATAGTAAAAATGTTTCGGACGCATTTTTTACACAACGTTCACTAGTCCCAAAACATGTAGCGCTTTTACTATGGGTGCTAGATAACTGATAACCATACTTAAGCATACGTTTCTTTGTAAACATATACATATTGTACGTATATAAACACCCAGACATTGGATAAACACTATGTTCATCACACAATATTTTTCTAGAAGTGGGGATCGAACCCACACGCTCTGGCACAAGCGGCAGTTTCATTACTCCCCACACCAATCGGGTTATTTGATACTCAAAAAGAAATCAAAATAAATGAAAAACATTCCTTTAAAATCGCATAAAGCTATTTTTCAAGCACTCCCACTAAACATTTCCGTTCTATGCCATTCCTTATGCTCAGAGTCAGGGGAGTGTTTGTCTACAGTCGGTTATTAACCTGCCTGACCCCAATTCATTCATATTTATGGTCAACTAAGCTAACTTTATTGTGCAGCTGAAACAATGAATCACTCTTAATACTGAAACCAAGTTGGTTAATAGTTAACCAATGCTGAATACGTTAAAACGCTGCGTTCGTTACTTTGAATGGTTATTTTGCGTTATACATTTCAATTTACGGAATGAAAAAGAATATTGTAGATGATTAGTTTATATATCATTGGTTAGATGAAAATTATTTCTATATACAATATTTTATTCTTAACGTATTCGATAATTACCACGACCTCACTGAAGACAGGCGTAAAGTGGAGTGTTACTCTTCTGCGTTTCGTCTGATGAGTGAGGTAGCTAGGGCCCACTTTATTTAAAGGCGGCAATGCATTTACAACCCTACGGCTGTTGCAAATGTTCATGGGCGGTGGTTAATACTTAACATCAGGTGAACCGCCAACTCGTTTGCCGCTTATTCACATTAAAAAAAAAATTACGCGATGAAACTTTTATTAAAGTATACCATATTTACAGATTTATCGCGTTTATCTTATTTCTCTAACATATTTCTTAATTTCCTTGCATTATTGAAGTTATTTTTTTTTTGACGCGTTTGCAAAAATTATGAGGGTAATTTTTTTTACGATACGTGCGCCCACCGACCCCCAAAAAGCGAGATGATGCTTGTTAACCAATTTAATCTTGGCATCCAATAACAACTTATTGACATTTACCAATAATTAAAAGTTATATAATTGATAACCAATTGCATTTAATGCCTTTACGCTAAAGAAGTAAGTATATAAATACACACATACTCTTTTTAAACATATATTACTAAATAAATAATATATATAATAAATGCTAAATTATACCCGTCTAATGATAATACAATAATAAAGTGAATATTTAAATTTGTTTTATGATAAATACAAAGCAACAACTTGCTACGCAGCTGGTACGGTTTATTTTACTTAATAAATAAAATTTATAATATATGCTAAAATATATTAAACTAAAAAAATACCCGTCTAATGATAATATAATAATAATGTGAATATTGACATTTATTTAATGATAAATAGAAAGCAACAAGTTGCTACAGAGCTGGCTACGGCTTATTTACAAACTTTTAAACTTTACATAAATGATTTTCTAATGTTACACAAGTAGGTAACTTGTTCTAAAACCCAAGTGTAAACTAAAGCAAGTCGCTAGTTTCTCAAAGCCTCTGGCTACATAATATCAGAACTTCTCTTACCCCAACATTCGACTTTGAAATGTTAATTTAGTTTAAATTTTAAACCTTCACATTCCGAAATAATTAATGCAATTTTTCTTTTAACTCTTTAAAAATAACGATTATGAAGTATAAATCTAAGAACCTTTTATCATCTATTTTCCTTCAACCAGAATGAACCACAAGAAAGCGTGGTAACACCTAGTGAAAATACAATTATCAAAATACCTCTATTCCACTACAAAATAAACATACCTCTTTGTATTTGTCACCGTTTTTATGTGCTTTTGTATGTAGAATAGGCGAACGAATATTCAGTTTGTTCGTGGATCATTTCGGGCCAGCCGTTTCCGTTAGGATAGCTTGTTTGTCGAAGTATAGGGGCGGTCCGGAATGGCCCGGGGCCCGCCGGATTCGTATTCCCGGACCTCCTGCACGCGTACACATTACGCTCATTATTGTTTACAATTGCCCGCTCAAAGGAGCCGCTTTATAAATCCACAACTTTGAATTGGCTCGTACATTTAAGTGTACAACAGCGAAAAACTCGCCGAATGAGTAAAAAATGCTTAGTTATTTAGGCAGTATCGGAAATTTATTGAATGCAATGCTGCAGAAAAGATATTAATGATAATTAAAAACACCAGTCCTATTCGAGAGCGTCGGCATACTACATAGTAGACTTAAGATGCTCACAAGGTGGCGCGAAGTATTGCTAGAAATACAAATTAAATATAAATTATTTGAGATTTTCGTATGTTCGACTCGTAAGAGCCGTTAGAAAGTTTGGGCGCGTTACCCAAAAGACCCAGTTTGCCTGTCCTGACAAAATTCTTTATCTACTAAACGCTCGTGTAAATTTTACTCCGTTGTTTATTATTATTATTAATCTAATTTATATATAAGTTACTTGTGAATGCAGTGTTAGCAATGTTTTGGCAGGACGATATCTGGTCATTGTAATGAAACTATGTTCCTGTTTCAGATGAACAACGTCGGATATACGGGTCGGAGAACGGGGATGGCCCACCTCGCTACATCAGTAGTCCGCAGCGGCAAGCCTCGCCATTTCCCTTAGAAAGCACCAACCGAAGGTTCTACAGAAGAAACAGAAACTCCAAAGGTACGCAAACAATTTTCTGATGGTTCCACTCACATTTTTAGGGACATCTAAGTATTTAATTGTTTTGTATATCAAAGCATTTATTGCTAAGTTTTTTCATTACCAAGCAACTGGTTCAGCTAAATGCTTAAAGCCAACTATGAATATCGGCAACGCCCGCGGGTTTGCAGTGAGCCCCGTTTACCCACTGACCAGACGAAACGCGAAAGTATAACACTCCCCAATGCCGATCTACTGTGAGACCATGACACTTCTCTAGAGAGAGCAGTCTTTGCTGACAATCGCAGCCACAGTGATAAGAATAAATTAATGGAAATATAGAAATAGCTAATGCTATCCGAATTTTACTGAGTTTAGCGAGTTCCAAGCTTAACTCACGGGCCTGTCATTATATACTGAGAACGAATGTAAGTTATTGTTTTTGGCCAGGATTAATCTAAAAAATGAAACTCGCAAGAGCATGGGTCATATCCCATAATTAACTAGAAAGTGATGCCAAGCACATATAGCAGAAATTATTTTAAGTTAATTTAAATTTAACATTGTTGTTGTTCATTCATCATTGTTGTAAAAAAAAAAGCAATGGCGACATCTCTCGTTCGAATTATCGTTGTAAAACGATATTCGAAGTTGTTTGTATGCTGGAAAGGATATAACAATAGATGGCGCCAAGCATTGCTTCAAATGCTAAGAAAACAATGTGGAAGAATGCGTTAAGATTTTCGTCGGTGTGGTAATCAGCCGTTTAGCTCAGTGGCTAGAGCGTCAGGCCGCGAATGCCGAAGACGTGGGTTCGATTCCCACAGCGGCGACAATCTTTTCGCACTTTTTCTACATATTTTATTGTTGTTGTTCATTAAACTTTAAGCCTAAGTATATAATGAGCTGTAAAATGAGTTCATTTATTTAAGACTAACCTTATCTGATTAACTTATTAAAAAGTTGGATATTTATAGTTTCGTAGTGTGAGAGTTGTTTATTTTTGTGCCTGAAATTTATTGCCCATTAATTTATTAAATATTTTTGGTCATAACGATTCGTGCAAATATAGTTGTAAAGTTCGCTTCGCATTGGGGAATTCAACTAGTTCTTTATTATTTTTATTAAGCTGTGTACCTACATCTTTATACTTATTTCGTGTGGAATTTACCAATATCAGGCTTATTATTTAATATATTAGTTTTTCCTTTTGAATTAACTAAATATATGATTTTTCTGTAAATGTGAAAGTTTAATATCTTTATACGGTCACTGGTTTCTTAACGATTATTTTTTTCTTGTGCGGGAATACTGCATTTTTACTTAATAATACGACCAATTTCTAAGCATTTGACCTTGTATCTATACAGTTTCGGCGGTAAAAGGCTGTTTGGCTGTTTTAATTAATTCCAACCTCGTTTATTTATCGGTGATAGGTGAAGAGGTGTTCACCGCTGAAGTTGGTGCTGGCACGCTATCACGCCGCAGCCGCCGTCCAGACGACTTCCCCCACAACCCTGCGCAGGCCTCCCGTCACTGCCACTTCAATGGTAAACATATTTGCGAAGAGCACCCTCATCATTATCATCATACCTCATCGTCATCAGCCGGAAAACGTCTGATATGGAATAAAGGCCTCTATTAGGTGGACTGACGTAATCTTAAGAGTCACGGGCAATCGCTGTTTGCAAACGGCAGTGTCGCTGTGGTAGGGCCACGCAGCAGCCTCGGCTGTTGCTCGAATGGGCAAGCTCGGCCGGGTGAGTACCACGACCTCACAGAAGACCGGCGTGAAGTGGAAGTATAATACTTTCGCGTTTCGTCTGGTGACTGAGGTGGCCGGAGCCCAATTTTCAAAAGGTTGTCACCGCTGTTGCGGATTTCCATGGGCGGCGGTATTCACTTAACATCAGATTAACCGACTGCTCGCTTAACAACTTTTCACATAAAAAAAGTGTCATTAGTTGTTGCGTTCTAACGGGGAGGCTTTTGTATTTATTCGACATGGTCGTTAATACATCTAATTTTGGGCCTGTTAAAGAGGAGTTTGAATAAGACTAAAGTTATTACTTAACAGGCAAGGGAATTTTGAAAATTAACTAAGAGTTGTAATATGCTTTTTGATAATTAAAATTAGTTTATATAAAAATGCTAGTTCTACAATACAGGGATCGATGGTGGCGTTATCGCCAGTTGCCTGCATTAAGTTAGATTTATAAGACCACCCGTGTATGCGTATAATAAGATACAATTACCGTTTCTCAATGTGAATCATGTGTGAATAAGTCATTTTTTATTAACGAAAAGTATAATCGATGAGAAAATTTCTCGCTCTGTATTAATTTTAAAATTGATTTTCCGGAGTTCCGTGCGTATCTCCGAAGCCGAAGATCCAATACGAATGAAATTAACATGGGACCAAACAGGAAGCATCAGCTTTGAAATAAAAAAAATCATAGAAACCGGTTCACTCGGTCGACAGTTCTGAGGTAACAAAAATAAAAAAGTCGAATTGAGAACCTCCACATTTTTTGAAGTCGGTTAACAAGAAGAGACTCTTTACGACTTTATAACACACACGTTAAAGAAATAGCAAAACGCGGGATCAGCCCCTTTTGCTGCGACGGTTTTTTTATGGAAAGAAGGTAGCCGTGAAAACGGTGTGATGTGATGAGAAGTGACCATCGCCGCCCAAGGACTTTAATAACACCGGGGTAGTTACAAACGCGGTCCTAACTTATGTGGTAATTATTTCTTTTTTGACTTCTTATTGAATTCTAAGCCGCAAACGTAATACCGTTGGCGACAGCGGTCCATTGTTTGATGTTTATATTTTATTCGCTAACGGAACGCGTGGAATGCTAACGCGACTCGAGGTCGCTTTGTTCGCATAACTCGCAGAAATATAATTAATTTAACGCCATTCAGATATGTGGGGTATGAATGACGCATTACACACATTCAGCAGCGTTGGATTCCGCCTTAGTTATTTTAGCTAGGCATTCTGTTTAGTGTATCTGTTGTCAATGTGATGCGGAGGTGGGTGCATGCCTTTGATAAGGATGCCTTGCATAGTTTCCTCCGGGCTGACGCGTCTCGCCGCGACGCGCCGTACGGGATATGGATCCGACCCTTGTGAAGAAATAATATTTTGCCAGGTTGAATTCTCGTGCGCTAACACATTCCACTTTCATGGCGAAGACACGAATGCTGCGAATTGTTATTTTTAGGAATCACTTCTATGTGTACCTAAGTCGCATCTAAATTTTGGCGTATATTGTATCATAGTAGTTTATTAAAAATAGACGTACACATTATGTATTTCGATTTAGATGATGATATGTTGATAACATTTAAATCTAATATAATTTAAAAAAATGAAACACTTAAATTATTAAAGGTTTTGTCTATAATTGTTTGTCCCAAAATTAATTAATTAACAAATATAAAAAATACGACAAATTAGGCGGGTAATTTTATTATTATATAAAAATTAAAGTACTTATTATTAAGCAACAAAACCATGTTTTATTCTCACAGACGTTATCATTTAAATCATTAGTACTCTATGCATTTCGAAATATCACCAATATATACTTATTTAAGCTTTTAGCTTGCTTACTTTAGTCGCTCACCGTAACTAAGTAATAAAACCTAAATACTACATTCGTTATTCTCTACTGTTGTACGAACGGGCAGTAACCTAAATCTGTACAACATAATGGAGGTGTTCCCGTTCATGGGTTCGGAGGCGGGTGGGGGGGGGAGATAAATTAAATAAGTATCGTAAAAATCAATCTTCAACTATCAAACCGTCTGCTGTAGACTGACATAGCCGATACAGTTCTTTTTTTTTTTTTATGGAGAAAAAAAAGGGGCAAACGAGCAGGAGGCTCACCTGATGGTAATTGATTACCACCGCCCATGAACACCTGCAACACCCGAGGGCTCACAAATGCGTTGCCGGCCTTTGTTAGTTCCTTAGTTCTCATTTCTTGTCAATTGTACCTGGTACTGACGGTAGATGGCGTTTCCTTTAACCAGGGCCCAGCGGTGGGCAGGCTAGCGAGCGCGAGTGCGAGTCGCCGCCGGAGCCCGCGCCGCCCGAGGTGCCACCGCGTGGCCCGTCGCTCCACGTCACGCTCCGCCACCGGACCACCCCCTGCGATCCGCCCAACGACTCCGACCGTCTGTTCCTGTCCGAAGGTAGGTGGGCTGCAAATCTTGGCGTAAGCCGTTATACACTTCGGTGTGACCGTACGGTGTTACTAACACGAACGGCACTGTTTGCGGTTGGTGTTAGCGAAAACATTTACCATAAAGCGGCAAAGAGCAACAAATTGCAGTCTACGAGTGGCGTTCTCAGTCTGTAGAGAATTTTATACAGTCAGGCGGCGAAGAGCAGCTAACTGCAATGTATCCGTTTCTCTGGTCAACTTTGATATCGGTATGATTGTATTTTATTGTGATTAAACTTGTGTCCTGTTAGTTGCAGCGTGTACACCATATAGCATAAGGCGGGAAAGAGCAACAATGTAAAGTGAAACCAATTCAGTGCTACTTTAGTGTACCGTACGCTTTCTTTGTTTCGAATTCTCAACGGCTCAATGCTATTACGTACGCTTTCAGTTTCTTTTCAAAATCACCCCTATAATATCAAAAAATAGGTGAAGTTCGTTTTATTTAGTCCTAGTGCGTGCCGAACGTGACTCGAATCGTATTTCAACTTTTGTCCTGATAATTACAAGAATAATTTTTAACGCTAGTTTTGTTTCGAACAAAGTCGAAGTTTGTAAAGTAATTAAATTTGAAACAACTGCCGAAAGAAAAGTGGAAACCTTGAACTTGCAAAGTTGTAATTTATTTCGGTTTGTCAACTTAAAATCAGCTGTTATTTTTAAAGCGTTGTAAATTCCGTAAAAATACGACCGTCAAACAGAAACTTGTACGAAACGCTTGTAGGTAACAGTGATCATGTCTACAGCGCGGAAAATGTTTGGAATGTTTTTAAATTTCCTACTACCCATAATATAAGTTTTGCTTAGTTTGCGGTTTGATGTATGTAAAAAGAAAGAAAAGTAAGAAATACATAATTTTCAAACGAACCATAAACATATATGGTTCGTTTGAAAATTAAACACTTAACAAAAGTATTCACTTTACTTTCTAATGACTATCAAAACTTCGATTTGTTTGCTATTTTCCCAGTAACTGAGATGCATAGTTGGGGCCGTGAAGCACTTAAAAGTCCTTGAAAAGCTGTCGTAATTAAATCCGCAAAGTTTAATTTCAGAATTTCTCTAGAAACTATCAATTCTGGCTTAATAGGGATAAAGTATGTATTTATGCGAATAAGACTTTTATAAGTGTTATATTATTAGAAAGGCTTTTATATGAGAAAATTTATTACATTATTTAGTTTAATACATATTTAGTATCGGTAATAATGGAATGAATAATAACTAGGGTTGCGTTGATTTTGAATATTGGTATACAAGTAAAACATGGAAGATACGACTGTGAAACTTGGATTCTGTATTTTTTTACACTTGAGTGAGCGCCGTACGATGATACAGGATGTTATGGTTCGTATTCACCCACAGAAAGTATTGCAAAACAAATTCTAGAGTATACTGCTCTTTCCCATGTTTAGAAATGAGATTTTCAAGGCGTGAAAAATCGAGTTATAACTTGTGTATCGGAAACTTTGGTCAAAATATATATTTCACTGCTGTCTACCTTAACGTCTCTTTTTAATGCTTAAATTTTATTATAAGTTTACGATTGACTCTTTAATACACATTTATATAGCTTTGTCAATTTTATTACATACCAATACGAACCAATCAGCCTTTTGCAGTCCACTGCTGGACATAGGCCTTCCCAAGGGCACGCCACAGAGCACGAGCACGTAGTGTCGGACGTCCCCTGCCGGGTGGACCGATGACCTGAGAATGGTCGCTGGTAGTGGCTGGATGGGGAAGGCGGAAGATTTTATTACATACTTTATAATATATTTATAGTCATATAAAATAATAATTATTCAGTTGTGATATCTGTAGTGAAATGCATGCTTATTTTTAATAAATAAGCTGCGATAACATCTTATATATGTTACCGGCCAAACCCGATTTCAGGACAAACTAGTTTTGCCTAGGCTAAACTAGTTCTTCCTATACGCGATAGGAGTAACTAGTTTAGCCTTTATGGTTTTAATAAAAATGATTATTTTTTTCCAATTACGGAGTATTTTATTCAGTTTATCTATTTGTTTTGACGTTCTAGATATACTATAATGTTTAGACTAGGCCACACCAGTTTATCCTAGAATGTATGTATTTATATCAGGATCAACTAGTTTCGCCTAGCCTAAACTAGTCTATCCTATCGGGCTTAGGACAAATTAGTTTGGACTAGCCTAAGCTGGTTTATCCTATCGGGCTTGGGCAAAATTAGTTTGGACTAGGCTAAACTAGTTACTCCTATCGCGTATAGGAAGAACTAGTTTAGCCTAGGCAAAACTAGTTTGTCCTGAAATCGCGTTTGGCGGGTAACATATATAATATTACAAAAACAGAATTACATTGAAAAACGAAATTGATACTTTAAGCCACTCGTACAATGTCTAGTTTATTTATTTCCATCCCGGCGGTATTGGTCTGAAGTATCGCTGGTATTACTTTCTCTTTTTTTTAAATATTTCTACTATGTTATGGTTCGTTTGGAATATAAAATAACTTAGCTTGACTCAACTTGTTCTAACTGTAATACTTAAACTCCTGTTTGTGCCTGTTATAAGTAAATAATTTCTATTTCTTCTTACTGAATTATAATCGCTCGTTTAAAATTCAAACGAACTGGATTCAATCACAATAATACAAATATTCACATATACACATAATTATATGATTGGATGAATGAATGATTACTTACACATAAATATATTAATTTATTTATATGAATATTTGCCTATAAATATTGATTTCAGAGGAAATTAATTTTTTCTTTTATTTCTACTTTCTATTATCCTAATCTTCGGTCTAGCATCAGCCATCTGCTTTTCACCATGACGGTTGACTGATAGAGAATGTCATCACGCATTAAGTCAGCCCATTGTGGCCCTTAGATTAAGGTGTAACAATAAACTATAAATAAAATAAATAAATAAATTCCTGATATTGACTTGGTTGGTAACGTGATCGAGATAAACACATATCTCTACCATATGCCCAAATGAGCATTAAACAAAAATACATAAAGAAACTAAGAAAACACTATACACATCCACCTGCCCCAGGTTCTGCCCACCCCGTGAGTTTGCATTAAGCCCCGCAACTACCAATCGCCCAAGGGCGTTACGCCCCGGCTCCCGTTGTTCGGGCAGCCGCTCTTGATAAGTTGGCTAATTAAATTTCCGACGTAAATGTACAGCCGAGTTGTGTTAAGTAGGGCCTACTTGTAAAGGTACTTCGGTAGAAGTTTAATCGAGTTGCAACGGCCGCCCGCGCCCGCAACGCCGCGAAGTTGGAACGCTCTCTAGTTGACAAATTAACCTCTTGATCTCGCCACGCTCCGGGTCTGTTTGCAATATGTTTTTATTTATTTCGACGTACCGTTGGAGTTGTGTTCGTTTCTGAAGTAATAAATAAATGACTCCCCACCCCGCGGGCCTAGATTACGCTTTTCCACTTTGTGTCCTGACACATACTTTGATATTAACGTGAAAGTCTCATGCAAGATTCCGTTTGTAGAATATGTTTCCGATTGTTTTTTTTTTTGGCATAATGATACTCAACGTAATAATAAAATTTTACTGCAGCTTTGAGTGGTGTTAATGACGACTTGTTTGGTGAAATTTTCTCTTCAGTAGAATGGGTTCAATTGCGATTACTGGAAAAACTCTTCATAATTAAAATGTGTTTTTCTAGTGCCTGAATTTTTATGTTTCTATTGTATTTATTTATAGGAGTAAAGCATTCATATGCTTATCAATTACCTATCAGTTTTTATATATAAAATTGTATAATAATATACACAAACATGTATTTATTTTTTGCATTTGTATCGATTTATTGTTATAAGTATGATACTTTACGAGCCAAAAGATGTAATAGATGCGTTCATCGACTATTGATTTGCATTATTAGCGATTACGCTGTCATGTAGTGTCAACTCCCAATGTACGTTGCTAAGAATTATTTTTTGTAATAAGACCTCTACGACCACTGCAAAATCTCTGCACGTGCACTAGACAGATACACACGTATTCAAGAGCAATTCTCTCCGCTCTTATCTCCGACTAGACGGCCGATAATTGTTACTGACGAGTTAAAACTCGAATACTCCGTGTTTCAAAACGAATTTAAACATCTAAGACACATATAACATCCTTCGACAATTTATAGATATAACATGCGTAATATTCGTAAGTGAACGTACGGTGAGACAAAAATATTTTAAGACCCCAAAATGATGACTCCGTGGCACAGTTGCCAAGGTATTGGCTTCGACGTGGACATGTCGTGGGTGCGATTCCAACACGAATTCCCAACTGTAAGGGCAATGTTTTAAAAAAGTGGAAGGCGATAAAGACAAATATTTAAATACATGTAGCGTGCAATGGGCACAGGTAAATACGCAGCCAGGTGTATTATGAGGGTCCGGTATACACTTTAGGCGCGTTATGAAAGAATGAAGCTGGTAAATTTGATTTGGAGGAGCGCTCTACGCAGGATGAGGCACTTTGATGTGGCGTGGCCGCGTCGCGACCCATCCCCTCCCATCCCTACCCACCTAAAACGGCGCGCACTTACAGAGAAACTCTTACCGTAATTTAATTTTTATGATAGCGCATTGTAAGTGTCCCTGAGAGGGTTTTATTTTGATTTGTTCCCTCTCCGAACGCCGGGCGGGAGCGCGAAAATAACACCGGGCGTAAATTTTACGATTTCAAATTTGGGCCCGCGCGAAACGGCGTAGACGGCGAAGGGGTCGGTCTCCGGTCGCGGTCTCTAGTCGCGGTCTCCGGTCGCGGTCTTCGGTCGAGGTCTCCGGTCGCGACGCAACCCGAAGGTGGGAGGTCTAATCGGCCGATGAATGAACGCCGGCCGTGTTGTATTAGGCAAATCCCGATTCGAACGGGAAAATAGCTTCGAGAGGTCTTGAAAGTTTAATGGAATCGAACGGGAGCAGGCCCCGAGTAGTGGGAAGTTTGCACGGGTGACAAATTGGGCACTTGACCCGGGCGGCACGGGACCCGGAGCGCTTGTTCCACGAGGACCGTAATAAGTTTAACTTAAAGTAAACTATATTCCATTCCCTCTAATTTGTACTTTTGCTACGCCGTAGCAACGGTTTACGCCGTATTAAATTAGCTCTGTGTATTTGCTTACGGGATAATTTTCACCGGCGACGTGGCTATTCTCTTGCTGTATTTATTATATTCGCTATTTTAAAAGTGTTCGTATTTGCTCTTTCAGTAATATGGTATACTTAAAGGAAGATTCGAGGCATTTGTTACAAATTTTTGAGGTGGCTATTTTAATTGTTTCGTATTGACATTTGTCTGTTTGATTTGGATCATTATTTTTTTACAATTTAACGTACCGGCTTTTAAGATTGGTTTATTTATCTATTTTCGAAGTGAACGCATGTTTAATAAGTTCGTTTAGACCTTGAAATTGAGAAATGACAAATAATAATTGCTCTCGTGCACATATTATATACGCAAGCAACAAAAACACATTACGTTCAACAATAAACGAATCTACTACTGTGGTAGAGTCACGCAGAAACCTCTGCTGTTGTATGAAGGGGCATGGGATGATATAAATAACCCTTTATTACCTACTGTTTTCTCATCCCTTTAATCAACTATTTTTTATTCTTTAAATTTATCTGTTAATATTGTATCCCGTTAAACCACAAACTGCCATTTTTTCCCGCAAGTAATATTTAATATTAGTTTCAATTTGCACGGGAAGCGGTGTTCCGTTATTACGTATTCGAAAAATAAAAGCTTAAGAGGTGTGTATTCAATTTTGAGATCTGTTCACACCAATTAGCCGGGGAGCGCTCCGTGCCGCCAACGGTAGTAACAGATGCAATATAATCGCAACGAGCAATAAGAATCCAAGTCTCGGTTTGCTGAGACGCTACTCGAAAACTCAACCACCGCGAGGTATTGCTTTAATTTGATTTTTTATCTGTTCACCGTTGTCTCTCCGGGGATGCAAATATTTAAGTGGCGGCTCTCCGTGCAACAATGAATTTGAACATCGTATTACGTGCATTCATAAAACTAACTGATAAATACACACTGATATTATATAAAACACACAATAACAGTTAGTGTGTTAATGTGTAAATAATTCTAGGACCCAAGCTCTCACGACTTCGTTTCGATAGTTTGAAATATCAAAGGATGTGCTTTTCTTCTGTTTACACTATTTTAATCACGTTTTAAATATAGACGTAAAAATTGTAAATATTAAGAACTAAGTCTGTCCGGGCAGCGAGTTTAAAATAAAGATAAGCTAGAGTATCTTTTGGTATTAAATTAGTAATCACGCAAGTGAAGAAGCAGATATAAGCACGAAACACTATTACGTGTGGTCTGAGGTGGATGAGACAGCATACGACAGATTGAATTTACTCGCATTCATTGCCCCCCGTACCTGTGTAGGGGTGGAAAATAGTTGCCGCCTCAAAAATATGATTATATTATCCGCCTGTGGATTCTGTAGACATTAGATCTGCACCGTAAGATGCTTGATTGACTACGACATGTGCACCCTATGCAATATCAATGAACGCAAAACCCCTGCGTAGATGAGAAATTTCTCCGTCGCTCTTTCAAGATCAGGCTGCAGTCTGTGCATTGCAACAATATACAACATACAACAGCAGCTTT